ACCCCTGTGCTTTGTTGGTGGGAATGTAAGCTGATGCATTCACTGTGGAAAACACTATAGAGGTTCCTAAAAAAATTAAAAATGGAACTGTCCTAGCAGGTTTTGCTCAGTGGTTAGAGCATGGGCCCTCAGAATGAATGGTCCCAGGGCTCAATTCCCATCAAGGACACATGCCTTGGTTGCCGGCTTGATCCCTGGCCCCAGTCGGGCGCATGTGGGACGCAATCAATCGATGTGTCTTTATCACATCAATGTTTCTCTCCTCTCCCTTCCACTCTCTATGAAAAGCAATGGGAAAAATATCCTCGGATGTGAATTTACAACAACAAAAATAGAACTATCATATGATCCAGCAATTCTACTTCTGGGTTTTTATCCAAAGAAAATGAAAACATTAACTCAAAAAGACATATATGTCCCATGTTCACTGCATCATTTGCAACAGCCAAAATATGGAAACAGCCTAAGAGTCCAGATATGAATGAATGGATAAAGTAAATGTGGTGTATATATACACAATGGACTATATTATTCAGCCATAAAAAAAATGAAATCTTGCCATCTGTGACAACATAGATGGACCTTGAAGGCATTATGCTAAGTGAAATAAGTCAGAAAAACAGATACTGGATGACCTGATTTATACGTGTAATTTAAAAACAAACAAACAAAAAAACTAAGCTCATAGATACAGAGAACAGACTGGTGGTTGCCAGAGATGGTGGGTGGGAAAAGTAGGTGAACAGGGTCAAAAAACACAAACTTCATGAGGAAGTAATGTACAGCATGGTGATTATAGTTAATAATACTGCACTGCATATTTGAAAGTTGCTGAGAGAATATATCTTGCAAGGTCTCATCACAAGAAAAAAAGAGTAACTGCAAGGTGATGAATGTTAACTAGGTTATTGACCATTTCATATGATACAAATATCAAATCATTATTTGTATACCTAGAACTAATATAATGTCATATGTCAATTATATCTCAAAAAAGAAAATGACAAGCCTTAGTGAGGGCATGAAGAAATTAAACCCTTGTGCACTGTTAATGGGGTGTAAAATGGTGCAGCCACTGTGGGGAAAAGTATGGCAGAGGGGAAAGGGAGTATAAATGTAATACCAACGTGGAAAAAAAATCAATTGTGTTTCTACATAAAAGCAACAAAGATATTGAGATTTATAAAATTCTGCTTATAGTAACAAACACTATGAAATATTTGTGGATAAATGAAGCTAAATATGTGCAAGACCAATTGTGAAAATTACAAAACACTGCTAAGAGTATATAAATAAATGAAATAAATAAAAGATAAATAAACGCAGAGTTATAACATGTTCACAGATCAGAAGACTCAATGTTAAGACATTAATTCTCCCCCAAATGATTTATAGATCAAAGCAATCCCAATCAAAACCCCAGCAGGCTTTTTAAAATAGGAAATTGGATTCTAAAATTTACCTAGAAATGCAAATGACCTAAAATAGCCAGAAAAACTTTGAAAAATAATACAGCTGAAGTAATTATACTACTGATTCCAAAAATTACAACAATGCTAAGGTAAAACAGTGTGTTATTCGACTAAGGATACACATATAGGTCAACAGAACAGAAAAGAGGGTCTATAAATAGATCTACATATACATAGCAAATTGATTTTCAACAAAGGTGCAAAGGTAATTCAATGAGGAAAAGCTAGCTTTTCAATAAATGGTGCTGGAACAATTGTTATCTATGTGCAAAAAAATTTAAACTGGAACCTTAACTCTCCCAATATATTAAAAATTAACTCAATGTTTCCAGAAGTAGATTCCCTAAGATCCATGGTTATATTCCACATTTCAATACCACACTGCTTTAATTTAGGGGAAGAAGGCACTCTATACAAAATAATAATAAATATTAATATTATTAAAAAAATACTAAAAATTCACACAGACCATAAACTTGAACTTAAGAGCTAAGACTAAAAAACTTCTAGAAGAAAACAGAAAAATATCATTGCAGTCTTGGAGTAGGCAAAAATTTCTTAAACAGCATACAAAAACATAAATCATAAGAGGAAAAAATTGGACTTCCTCAAAATTTTAGGCTTCTGCTCTTTCAAAGACACTGCTAAGAAATGAAAAGGCAAACCACAGAAAGGGAAAAATATCTGCAGAATGCATTTCTGATAAAAGAGCTGTAATCAGAATAAGATTCTTGTAATTCAAAAGACAGCTCAATTATAGTTAAAAAATATAAACAGACACTACACCAATAAGATATACAGATGGCAAATAAATACATGAAAAGATGTTCAATATTCTTAATCATTAAGCGAATGCAAATTAAAACCACCATAAATTATACCCACTAAAATAGTTAAACTTAAAAAGACTGACAATATCAAGTGTTGGTGAGGACATGGAACAAGTAGAACCCTTATCATTACTTGGGGGAATGCACGTTTGGAAACAGTTTTGCACTTTGTCATAAAGTTAAACATAGATGTATCATAGGACTCAGCAACAGTTCCTCTCTCAGGAATTTACCAAAGAAAAATGAAAATATACATTCATACAAAGGCTTATATACAAATGTTTATTATACCAGTGTAATTCATAATAGTAAAAAATGTAAACAACCCAAATGTCTATCAAAAATTGAATGGATAAGCAAGTTAGGTTTATTTATACAACAAAATACTATTCAGTAATGAAAAGGAATAAACAATATGGATAAATCTCAAAAGGATTACGCTAAGTGGAAGAACCCAAACACAAAAGACTACATATTGTATGATTTCATTTATATGAAATTCTAGAAAAGGCAAAACTATAATGATAGAAAGCAGATCAGTGTTTTTGCTAGGTGCTGGGGGTGGACAGAGGGGATCGACTGCAAAGGGGTACAAGGAAATTTTTGGGGTTAATTGAAATGTTCCTATCATAACTGTGGTGGTGGTTATACAACTATACACATTTATCAAAACACATCAAACTGAACACTTAAAAATAAATTTTATTTTATGTAAATTACCCCTCAGTAAAAGTGACTTTTAAAAATAATTTAAAGAAAAATTTAAAAAATATTAATCTATATCTAAGTTATATATGTATATGCAATCTTCCCTACATTGTAGAGTTACCCCTATATATTTCTCAGTAGTGTCTTGGAATTTAATAAACTTGGTTTTGTAACTGCAGTTCAAAAATAATTCCACATACGACACAAAGAAACCACTACCAATTTGTAACAACATTTACCACTGGTGCAAACAGATGGAGCAGAGACACAGCACAGGGTAGCCCCTATTGTCTGAGAAAGCCAAACTGCATTAATGTCACCATTCAGCAAAGACCCACAATGTTGATAGCTTTGTGCTTTACACATTCCTCAGTCCACCATATGGGCTATTTTTCATTTGAAGCTGAAGAAGAAATCTTCTCTCTTGCAACTGATACAAGCTCTAACAGCAGCAGATAAAGCAAAACAGTACAACTACTGCTGCAGTTTTAGTCACAAGGAACACAAAGATGATTTACAGATACCTCACATTCAAGGATAAGGCTATATTCCACTTAAGTGGAGAGATGAACGGTCACAGTGTCCAACTGTGGGATGCTACCATCATTTTATAATAGAATATATAAGGGATTCACCAAAATTTCATGTCTTTTCAATATATCTGACCTATTTATTGCTATTTCTCCCTACTAGAATGATGACACTCCACAATGACAGGAATTTTTGTCTTTGCTGTTGTTCATAGCTATATCCCTACTACCTAAAACGGTGATTTTCAAGAGGTGTGCTGCAAGAATTTTTAAAACATGCAATACCTTACTATTTAGTCAGGGGCACTGACCTCTTTTCCCTTAGGTTGTCAAATTTAAAAAAATGACAACAGCCAACACAACAATAGCTGGCTGGTGTGAATGAATCAAAATTATGCCTTCTTTTTGGTCAGGTCAGAAAAAATATATCTTTTGGTGTGCTGCCTAATTTTAATAATTAGTTTATGTGTGTCATGAGATAAAAAGGGTTGAAATCGCTGACCTAGAACAATGCTCAGAATTGTAATTGCTCAATAAATAAATCTGTTAAATGAATAAATTATGCCTATGTAGATATTCAGTAAATATTTGTACAAATTTATGTCTATGTAGACATTGTTTACAGCCAAACAATGTAAGAACTGCCCCTTACATTTCTTTTCTTATATAATTTCTTTGGTTGGAAGTTAATAATTGTTTTGTTTCCTCCTTCATTTTGTTTCTAATACCAATTCAAGCATAAACTTTTTTTTTTTAAATATATCTTTATTGATTTCAGAGAGAGGGAAGGAGAGGGAGAGAGAGATAGAAACATCAATGATGAGAGAGTCATTGATCGAGCCCGCAACCCGGGCATGTGCCCTGACCGGGAATCGAACCCCGATCGCCTGGATCCTAGGTTGACGCTCAACTGCTGAGCCACGCCCGGCTGGGCTCAAGCATAAACTTTCAAAGAGGATGATTCTTATTTTCTCCTTTACGTATTTCTTCATTCCAAAAATTTCCCACAATGTGTGTATTTAGAATAAAGAATAAATGCATGTTTATAAAATTAGAGTTTTATAGAGGCCTATACCAAGTAATAATAGCATGCTTCAAGTTTTCTTTTGGCTATTTCTTTAAATCTATCCCTCTTCATGCTGTTTACCCTATATGGAAAACCATCCACACATTTCTCTATAAATCTAGCCTGTTTTCAACCCAATCTCCAAAATTAAGATTCCTTTATAATACTCGTTAATCTCAATCTTTTGATCCACTTTGACTCCCAACAAAACCCTACTTTAGGGCAGGTAATATTAAGTACTTTTATTTCCCACTGTTATACAACATTCAATAAATGCTTATTTGTTGAACCTGATGGATTTCAGTGAGACTGAGGAAGCAAGAGGATACAAAAATTAATGTAAAACCATGAAGATAAAAATATTTGCATATTAAACTATATGCATAAAACCTACCAGAAGTGTTTGTCCTTGGGAAATGAAGAAATGACCTGATATAACTATGGTGAGAACAAGATACCCAGATTCTTCATTGGAGTCAAAAACCTTAAAAAAGAGAGAGAAATATGTATAAGACAATACATTTCTATAATACTAATAAACATAATACTGATAACCAAACTATCTTCTCACATTAATCTTCCTACCCTGAATGCTTCCTTTCCTCCCATTTAATCTGTAATCATTCCCTTAGAGTTTCAAGTTTATCCTTATATAAGGGCTAACATCTAGGCTTCTTAAAAATATAACTAAAACCAGTATTTTGAAACAAAAATAATACTAGATTGAGAATCAAGAGATATAGGGCCAGGTCCAACCACTTTTCAGTGATATTTTAATAAATCATTAATTATCTTGAACCTCAATTTCCTTTTTGTAAAATGGAGACAATACCTTACAGGGGTGTTGTGAGATTTCAGAGTCTATTTCTTCAGCCACACAATCCATACTTCATAACTCCTCAAAGCTGGATGCTTCCTTTAGATGGGCTTTAATTTGTCAATGTCACTCTTAAAATACAGTGCCCCAAACTGACCATAATACTCTTGATGTGGTCTAATTATCTCCCATTACTTACAGTAACATGGCCTATAATCACATTAAGCTTTTGAGAGGGTAGTCTCATTCAAGAGTGATCTTAGATCAATCAAACCTTCTGAAACTTCATCACCTCTGTTGGTAAATCATACTTTCACTTTCTTCATCTGAACCTAAATGTAAGACCTTGCATTTATCTCCGTTATATTTTTCCTTGTTAGATTTGGTCTACAGTTGTGGTGTAGTTGAGGCAAATAAATCAAAATGTCAAGGAGGACATGACTAATAGATACGTAAGAGAGGGATTTAGGTCTTAAGTGACTACACTGCATAGGTGGCTTTAATGTCAATCATAAACATCCTTGTATAAATAACAATAAGAAATTACTGACTCACCTTAATGTTCAAAGCTCAAAATAATGAACACACATCTAACTCAATTTAAGTATATTTTTATAAGATTACTGCATCCTATTGACAAATAATGTTCCATCTTATAGTTTCATATGTGGGGTTTGGAGCTTTAATGCTGTATTTAAACTCAAGATCTCCTACTGAGTTTTCTCTAATCCTCTTTAAATTCCAAACTTAAAAATCAAATAACATTTTAGATGTCAAGGTGGGGTATGTTAAGCCCCGCACTGTTTCCCACCGTAGTTGTTATTCTGCCTCTTTTCCAGTATCAGAAACTCAGTTATTTGTACGACAGTATTCTCATCATAGTTCAAATAGATTATTTTACATGTTTCACAGCCACTTAAAACCAGAAGGATAGCTAGCTAGGTACTAGACAGAACATGATGAAAAAATTCTTTGGGAGGCAATATGTTAACATGACAGTTTAACATTTTTCTTTAGAATTGTAACATGTATCCCCAAAAGTGTCCAACACTTAATAAAGCTCAATGAATGATGACGTAGCAAACATATAATCACCACCCAGGTGAAGAAAAAGAACAATACCAGCCTTCCAGAAAGTACTCCAATCACTACCTGCATCCCACTCCTCCTAAGACAATCTCCCATCCTGACTTTTAACACTATAGTTCAGTTTTATTTATATGAATGGAATTGTACGCAAATAATTCTTTTATGTCTGGCTTCATCAATGTTGTTGCAAGTGCCTGAGTTTGTTCATTTTCATTACCGTAAAATACCATTTTATGACTATCCCACAATTTATTTTTGTCATTCTTTTGTTGATGAATATTGATTTCCAGTTTAGGTCTAACACTAACACTGCCATTATGAGCTTTTTTTAAACTTTATTTTCATTGTTGACACTATTACAG